TCCCCCTGGTATTTTTAGCGCCCATTAGCCAACACGAGCCGCCGCGTCTGGCCCTTGGCGGGGCCCATGCCCCTCAATGTATAATGGTCAAAAATTGCCATTGGCAAGTGTCAATGTATTTCAGAAAGATAATAAATCCTCTTCATTTTGTATGAAAACGGCTATAGGTATTTTGAAATACGTAATAAATAAAAAACGTAAGTGCTCTTATTGCTTCGCTTGTCACTTCCCATGGTGTGAAAATACAAAAAAAATGAATTATCGTGATGTAGGGGGGATTTCTCCAATTGGTTTGCATCGTGCATTGGGGTCGCTGGTTTTCAAGGTGGGAGGTCCCCACTTTGCCTCTGTGCTAATATCTCCTCCCCCCCCCCCCATCCGGCCTTCCTGAGGGCCACGTATTCGAACCGTTTGCATTTTCCCACATTGCTCCTTAGTGTTGAAAATTTTTTTTATTTCAGAGCAAACATTTGGAATATCCTTGCTTTTATTCCCTTGCCAGGATAGAAAGTATTTTATGAATTCCTATTATCATCCCCACTCCCCCATTCTTAGCGTTTTGAAAGACAAGCGCATCAAATGGTTTTGTGAATATGGAACAGGAGAGCATTGCCTTGGGTTATGAGGATGATGAGGCAGAGTTTCTACGTGAGCTCCACAGATTACAGAACAATGCACGTGAGCAAAAGGAACTCTTGAAGTGTGTTCAGAAGGAAGAAAAGAATTTAGGCGAGACCCTTGAAAAGAAGATTGAAGAAGAATTCCAAACTTCATTACAATGTGCCAGGGCAGAACTGTCCTTGCTGGAGTTGCGCGATTCGAATAAAAGACTTCAATGCAGTTTTGATAAGGCTAAGAACGATTGCGTGAATCTCATGGCTAGACAAAACAACGCAACAAAAAGATATCAAAAATTGATTAAATCACGACGTGCATTCGAGGTACGTAGAGAACGTCTCAAAAGAAAGATGGAAAGCTTTAGTGTGAATACTAGTCCATATTTTCATAAAACCTTACGAACCCTCGAAATCATTTATAACAATCCATTTTGGCAACAACATGTTTGCAAAGAAATAAAGGAAGGAATTAATCAAGTTTGGGATTTGTGCTATCCTTCAATCACACGAAGTCCAACCTTCAACGAGGATTCCATTTGTAAGCTTTTCGGATGTTTTGAAAGATTTTCAGAGACGCTTTCTGAAGAGGAACAAATTCTACTCAAAGCTTTATTAAGTTTAAAATAATTTTTTTTTCCATATTCATACTTTATTTCCTCTGCTGGTCCTGTTTTTTTTTTTGTTCAATGGTTTGCTGATGAGCAAAATAGAACTATGAGGGCAGGGGTCAACAGCGTTCAGTATGGTGCTTAAAATATACATTATCTTCATTCATAAAAGGAGTATCCTTTTGTGATTTTTATTTTTTATTTAATGTTAGGAGTGTCTCGACCTAGTTTAAAGGCCACTATATTGTTAAGTTCAGGTATCAGCTCCAAAATTAGAAAACATGTAGCTCGAGAGGTCGCAAAGCTTCCTCGCCCACCATATCTAATGGTGCTACATATCGGTTCCCGCCCAGACTCGCTTAGTTATATTCGCCTCAAGAAGAAGGCCGCAGAAGAGTGTGGTATAAATTATGGACTAAAAAATTTACCAGAAACCATATCTCAGACTGCTCTTCATCGAGAACTCACTGAGCTAAGTAATAATCCCGCTGTCGATGGCATACTTCTACAATTACCTCTTCCAGGACATTTACGTGTGATATCGTCTTTACTTCATATTCATCCCAACAAAGATGTCGATGGGCTGAATATTCTGAACTCTGGAAATTTGTTTCTTCGCGACCAAGTTTCTCTTACCGAATTTTTAGCGTTGAAATTTTCCGAGAAAACTAGATGTAACCATATGTTTGAGGATGCTATCATTATGAGTACTGGTGAGAGTTGTTTCAGTGAATTGACGCGCGAATCACATGAAGCTAATTATTTCATTCCATGTACTGCGCTTTCTGTTCGGTGTATTTTGCTTTGTTACCTTTTTGAGGCAAAAAAGCTGCCCCCATATGTGCCTGAGTCTGAAGTACGTAATCTGCATGTGGTAATAGTAAACAGAAGCATGGTGGTTGGTATACCTACTGCAGCTTTATTACAAAAAGAGGGTTTTATTGTGACCATTTGTGGTCGTAACAATTCACTCGAGTCACTAAAAAAGATCATGAAAACTGCTGACATTGTCATTACTGCATATGGCCAAGCAGAAATCTTTAACGCTGAATTTTTCAAAGAAGGTGCTGTAATAATTGACGTAGGGATAAATGAACTGCCTGTAGAGAAATGCGGTAACGGAAATTCATCATCGGCGAAACACAAAATATGTGGTGATGTTAATTTAGCGTCTGTTTTGGAGGTAGCTAGCGCCATTTCACCAACTCCTGGCGGTGTGGGCCCCTTGACAGTTGCATATTTAATGCAAAATATTCTAAAAGCATCACGCTTACGTTGTGGGGATAGAACTTTCATGGACAGTATCTATTCTTCATCTCTAAAGGCGCATGAAGCAGATGATATTCCTGATCAGAAAAGCACACTTCCACCACAGTATCAGTCTCTTTTGGGATTCGGTGAACGGGGAGAAAATGTAGATGACAACAATTTCGGTGTCTGAATTCTTAGTAGATGTATACTTTTTTATTTGCCCAAAAATAAATATCATAATGGAGTTGGAGTATCTGTGTTGATCTGTAACGTTCAATTAAGTATCCACCGATGCATAACCTACTGTTGTCATTTTTTCTCATCTTTTCTGGACATTTGTATATTTTTCCCCTTTTCTGTTTTGATGTTGGGAAGAAGGAAACGCCGCATGCTTTTATTTTCATTGATATATATATTCCCACAACATAATCACGATTCTATTTTCAGACTCCGTTTTTTAAGTAAAGAATTATCAAACTTCTGAATTTTACTCCATTTTATCAATATTTGAATTTACTACTTTCGTAATATTATATGCGTATATACGTATCAATTTATTTATACTTCGGTGAGGTTACCCATTATTATACCATTTTAACGGGTCTTGTAGCCCGTTCATGACGATAAGACATGATTTAATCATTCTTCATATTACAAATCCCCTCAGAAATGTCTTAAAGGAAAATTTTGGGCCACAAAAACACAATTCTACTTCTTTAATTTATTGTCTCTTTTCATCACTTTCTCTCTATATGAATGAATATATTGTAAAAAAAAATTATATCTTCTCTCTAGTCACCTTTTCATAAAGGGCAAAGCCAACTTTATACTGCCTTTTTGTATGCGATTTGCATTTTCCCATCTAATGAGATTTTGTTTTGCGAACATTTGGCACTATTATTGTAAATTATCGATAATTCCGAAGTGAATTATTATTATTATTATTATTATTATTCACAAAAATGCACATCAAATTTGTGTGTTATATTCCACTGCATAAGCGCGCAAAGGATACGTGACCAAACATGCACATATTCGTCACAATGCTGTTTAAACAGTGCATGATACATTTGAACCACCTATACAAGCTTAAGCCTGACATCGCTTTATTCGTCGATACCATTACCTCATTTCCATTATTTGTTCTCTCTTAGAATTGATTTTAAAGGTTACGAATTGTTGAATCTAATAGAATATTAGCAACTTCGACAACACTAATAGTATATTCTACATATGTTAATTTGTTGTTGTGGATTATTAATTTTAAGAGCTGAAACTAGACGTTTACACTTTTATTTGAATATATAAATGTCTGTCTGTAGTAATGGCAACGGATCTTGCAGTGGCAGGTTACAAGTTAATGCCCTCACAAGGAGCACCTAAATATGGAACAGTTCATGGCCGAACGTTTTCAGCGCTTGTAGAATCGCAAATTTGCTTTTATTATCGTATTCAGTCCTACTTATAAGACCTTTATTCTATAATGATATCTGTTACCACACTTTCAATGTGCATCTGAAGCAGTTATGGAGCCAGTACACCTGTCACTCAGTTTTTTCTAGTGTGCAATGATTCGAAGCGTTTCCATAGGCTCAAACACACCTCTCTAGAAGAGGATGGTATTACTAAGAAAAGAATAACTAACGTATTTAATTTTCTAGTAAAATGAGCTGTACGTATACCGTCTTAAAAGATCGTGATTTTGCACATTCTGAGGCTGTCTGTGGGTTGCATTTCGGGTTATCAATCCCTTGATGGATGAAGTTATTCAATAAACTGCATAGTATCGGCATGAATATCCTGACATCACATTTCATAAACTTCCAATCACATTTCTTTCCTTAAGTCAACTATTTATTTAGTCGAATGTGCAATACTATTTTTCAGATCTTTTTGCCACAGTTACATACATAAAATTTAACCAGTCATTGACCTCTGTGCAATACGCGACTGATTTCTTTGCATATTTGGTTGTAAATACACCAAGTGCAAACTTATCATTTTCGAGGTGTTTACCCTTCCACTGATGTTAGAAATGAACTTATGACGTCAGCGTACTAATTTCAGATATAATTACTTGCCATTCTATTGTTTTTATCCCTACGCTTGGTGATTAAAAATCCAACCATTTTGATGGTGGAACTGTTCTCTCTGCAGCTTGTGTATTCTTCAACTCTGCTTTTGATTTAGTCAGTGCTGTTTCCAGAAGCTGTTGTCGTATTTCTCATAGTCACAGTATGGAATCCCATACTGCTTTAATTTTGTGTGAAAAATGATGCTCTCCACTTCCACTAGGAGAGATATCCGTTCATCCAAACGCAATTTTAACCCTCGTGAACTCCCTTTTTTCTTTTTCAAATCACACATATTGATATTGAGCTCTGGAAAGGTAAACCCATTCGCTGGCACTCGAACAGAGTTTCTTCATTATTTATTTATCATACATATGACCACGTATCAGATAGGGTAGAACAAACTCCAACAACTCTTTGTGAGAGCAATTAAATTTTATTATGTCAGTTTTCATATTGTTGATGCTAATTTTTCTATATATTTTAATATTGATAATAACATTTTGTTGACATTTTACAAAACACGTATTGCGAGCATCAAGCGAAATGAACTCCAATCGTTCCGTGTGTCCTTCATGTTTATTCACGTTAACATATTAACCATGGACATGGTCATTTTTATTTTTACACAGAAGCTGTACATTTCTTTATCGTTGAGCTAGCATTCTGGTCCATAAATTACAAGTACGACAAACGGACAGATTTGATTTTTGGTTGCTCTACTGACGCTTAATTCCTTTCTCTTTTAAGTATTCAACAATTTTGTTTTATAGGTACAAAAAAAAGCGGTAGTATTTGACTTTGATAGGAACATTAGCGATTATTTCTTTTCCCCGATTTCTTTATTGATTAGTCTTCTTCTTCTTTAGATATGGCTGATACCCAATTTAATCTCGTCAAAAATCTCCAGGACCTCTTTCCACAGCTCTCTGCTGCGCAAGCGCGTAACATCCTTGTGAATCATAAGTGGGACTTGGAGTCTTCACTGGAGGACGCTGAGAGTTTTGCCGCTAAAGCTTCTAATGAGCGTCCTAAGACAGAGAACTATTGTGTAGGGCGTGATGATCGCAGATCTACGCAACAGGATGATGCGTCTCATACGAATACGTCAGCCCCAGATAATTGTGATGATGTTGGGAAGTTGTTAGAGAGCCTTTTCAGTCAAGTGAGCGGCGGATACGACGATAAGGACAAAGGGAGTGCGCCGCTGAATGCTTTCTACGGTCGTGGTAGACGGCTTGGTCACACAGAACAGCCTAGCCCCTACATTGCCTCCACACTGCGTCAACGGCGCGACGTTTCCATTACCCTTTACCGCAATGGAATTTTCGTGGATAATGGAATTTTCATAACCATGAACAGCCCTGAGGGGAAGGAATTCTTAGAGGCAATGCGTCAAGGTTACATTCCGTCTTCGCTGCAGTCTCACTATCCAGATTGTGAGCTCAATGTCACTTTGCTAGACCATCTCGAACTGGATTACAAACCAGCTTCGCTCACAGCTTTCAAGGGTGAAGGCCACCGCCTTACAACAGATGAAGGTAAGACCTCTACAAGTGGAGAGCGTCTTAGCTTTGATACTTCCAGAAATTTTCATTTTGAGCCGAGCGAGGACGCTTCGTTTATCTGTATACTCAACACACAGGGGGAGCGAAGAGAGTTCAAAGTTAACCCATCTCGGCACACGGTGGAGGATGTTTACTACCTGGCTCATAGTCTTCAGCCTGACCTAGAACGCTTTGTATTGGTTGTTCGTAGCATGCCACCGTATAAGCTTGAAAACTTGACACGCAGCCAAACCATTGAAGAGGCCAAGCTGTGTCGGGCGGTAGTCACAATACGGCCTTTGTAAACGGCGAGTTGTAGTTTTGAGCATTTCAGCAGTCTGGTTGCATTTTTTCCTCGAAAATTGATATTATTGTAAATATATTCTGAACAAGAGAGCTTGAATGAAAAATATTCTTATGGTTTTGCACTTTTGAGTTTGTTGCTTTTTCTTTGGGATGTATTCTTTTCAGTGAGGGAGGAGAGCTTAGTATTGAAAGTGGGTTTTCTCGCAACCGTACTGCTTTTATCCTGCCATTTTTTTGATACAAATAGTAGGCGTTGGCTGTTTGGCACCAAGGTATCAGTAACCGAAAGACAATAGTGTGCCTGCGTCAATGCGGCACACATGTTGGGGACATGCCCGGAGCGCGATTACCAACCCTCTTAACGCAACCTTGAGTAAAGGCGATTGGAAATTCTTAAGAAGTCAGGCTACTGTTGTGAGCGCGGGGACGACTGAGTTGTCACATTCGACTATTCCTACAAGGCATTTCCAAAGCAGTCTTCCACGGCTCCCCATTCCGCCCCTTGGTGGAACACTTCACAGGTATTCAGAAGCGGTGAAGGTGTTAGTATCACCTGGACTGCAGGATAAAACGATAAAACTGATCAAGGGTTTCGAATGTAAAGAGGGGCGTAGACTACAAGATGAGCTGGTGCGCACAGATCGAGTCAACAAGCATACGTCATACATTTCATCAGATCTGTTTGAGTATAGACTCAGGAAACGCGACCCACTCCCGATTCATCATCACACGTGCATCTTTGTGAGACCGCAGGAAAAGGTGAATGATATGCTCGTACGAGCAACACATTGGATTACACAGAGTGTAGTCTTTTACAAACACTATCTAAACAACACCCTTCGACCGGATATTTTTTATGTCGATGATACCAAGGACGCCTATTATCATCAGGATTGGTTTGATCGGACAGTTGCACTGTGCCCAGAGTACTTCAGCGCCCCTTTCATGACAGCCACTTCGAATTATCATGCTTTTCCTTTGGATCTGTCTCAGAACGATAACCTCTTCAATAGCACTCGTATCCCTGGTGTGCTACAAGATGAAATCCGTGCAGTTGGCTTTATGCCGCACATCATCGTCCAACATCGCGGCCATCAGTTTAGCGTCACCGTTGCAACTGAGGAATACGATCCACTCCCGGAGGAGGAGATTTATGCACGACTGAAGGCGATTGTGGCCTTAAACGTGTGCCCTGCACGGGTAGATGTAGGTATTTTCACGTCATTACCGCGGACTGAGTGGAGTGTCGCGCGGGCCGTGTTGCTTCGTGATGTGGTTAACGCAAAAAGTCTAAAACAAATAGACAGCAGCATGTTTGTCCTAAATTTGGATGATGAGATTGGGGACGGAAATGGCGACTTCACGCTGGCCCCACAGAAGGCCGCAAAGCTGCAGATGTCCAAGAGCATCAACCGCTGGTGGGATAAAAGTTTTTCTGTCAACGTATCACCCGACGGGTCTCTGAGTGTGAGCTATGAGGAGAGCTGGGGCGACGGCACGGCTGTCCGGCGATATATTACCGATGTCCAGAAGCAATGTGCGCTTAATAGTACCAACACATCAATAATTGATACAAATATAGCACCCAGTGAGCCAATCCAGCAGTTGAGCTGGCATATTCCAGTGGATCTTGAGCAAGTTGCCTTCAAGGCACGCAGTCGTCTTGAGAAGGAGGCTGACGATTTAGATCTCTGTGCTGATGTTTTAAGCAACTTGCCTACACAATTATCACTTGTTCCATC